TAACAACAACAAATTCAATGTAATTCCAATGTATATAGACTTTATTCTTATTTTTGTGGAGTATAGCCGTAGAGAAACTGTTTTTGATAAATTTTTGGTTCAAAAGAAGAGTTTTCGAAGTAGAATTGTAAGAAAAAATAACAAGATACAAAACAAATGAAGCAATTACAGACAATAATAACATATTATTGCAGAATAAGAGACTAAGCATCAACTAACTACTATACTATGTTTGGTCAAGATGGATTTGAATGTTATAGTTTAATATTATTTTAAACATATTTATTGGCTTTTTTGTTGTAATAATCAAGGATTAAATTGTATTGTGAAAATATAACTTAACTAGTAATTATAACATGATGTGTCTGATGAATAATACAGTCCTTTTATTTTTCTTAATATATTTTTGGAATGTTTGCCTACATATATGTTCTTTTCAACATATGAAATGTTTTAAGATAAAATTATATAGTTTAAATAAAAAGTAGATTTTATGTGATTATAAATCATCTTATTTAAGTTAAAATGAAAAGCACCATTTCATACTGATACCACCTTTCTTTTATTTAGTTTTTAATTACCATCTTCCATTTACTCATTAGTGCTGCAACATTTTCTTTTTAGAAAAAAAACGTTTCCCCTCAAATGAGTTTTGCCCTACGTGAATCTGAATTAATAGGATTGTTTTGTAAATTTTAGATATATACCATATTAATTAGCAAAAATACATTGATAAACTAGTGTTTGGAATGACTAATTCATATGAGTTGAAGATTATTGAAAATAATCTCTCTATCTCATAATACAATATGGAAATAAAACATGCATATATCTCATCCTTTTCAGATTAGGCTTATGAAATTACGTTGAATATGTTGATGTAATCGTAGAAAAGTCGGTTGAAAGTTTAAAAAGAAAAGGATGATCCTTAAAATACTTCAAGGTGTCATATTAGTTAGTTATGAATCTTTTTCTTTTTGAAAAAAATGAGATGTTGGTCAGCCATGCAAAATATATCATAATAAGCACCTTGCTTTAAAAACTTTATGCATGCTTTGATTGATCAAAACACCAATTTAAAATTGATTTTTTTATTTATAAAAAATAATATAAAGTACAAATATGACACAAAATCCCATGAAAAAGGAAGTGAGATTTTTTAGTATAATTTTAAAAATAAAATAAAATATGATGACAATTAAGTGGACAAGCTCATGAGGTTTGAGACATAAAAGGGGAACAACATTAATGAAGTTGCAAACAATTATGGACCCCTTTATTAAGTTAGACCAACTTTTATTTGCCTTTTCTTCTTCTTCTTCTTCTTCTTTTTCCTTTAAATATTATATTTATATTTATTTTATTTTATTTTATTATTTTCTTGAAAATGTAGAATAAAAACAAACAAAAAAAATATATGTGTAAAATGAGTTTCTATATGGCAAAGAGAGAACTCTTTCGGTGGTTAAGCTTTGTTACATTAGTCAAGTTCAAAGAAGTCCCACTTTGACTATTTTCTCACTGGTTTTCTTTTTGAGTTATTTTGGATTTTTATAAAAAAAGATAAAATTTAACTGATTCGTAAGAAATCTTGTTAAAATATTTAAAAAATTATTGTATTATATATAATTATAATAAAAATAAAAGAACTTTTATTAGTTAATTAACCGAATAATATAAGAAGTACAAAAACAAATTGATTAGAATTGAGCAAATTGCTAATGACATACTATAATTTAATCCATTTTGATCAAAGATATTTCAACCCAAGTAATCTTTCACTACTAAATATTTTTAGGTGATTGAAGATACATAATTAAGCGATGTGAATCGACAATTTAAGGGAAGTGCTAATGTGACAATTTAAGCAAATAAAAAGAAAATATGTTAGTGTATCGAAAGGTTATAATTTAAACCGTTGTGATCGTTTTGTTATATTAATACTTTATTTTTATTCTAATATATTCTGATTCGATATTAAAAGTCGGATATTATCAATTATTTTATAGTTTAATATAACTATTTATAAAATTAATCTGAATATATAATGAAGGAAATGTTAAAAGAAAAAAACTACTTGATTTCAATTTTAAAATGAAAAAAAGTAAGTTAAAGGAAGTAATTATTTTTTATTATTAATTTTTGGATTTTTTATTCGATATTCGATATTTATATTAAAGTCTAACTAAATTTAAATTTGACTCGGACCTGACAGGAAGCAAACTTATTGGTTTCATGTTTCTTGATAAATAGCTTTCATAGGCATGCATAGATGGCCGCCATTTTAGACCAAAAAAACGTGCATGGTTTTATTGTTTCCTATGGAATCCTTTCTTATTTTCAAATTTTAATAAACATTACCTACAAATAAATATCTTTTAAGTTATATGAAGATATTATGCTAAACAATGTATGTTATATATAATTTAAACTCATTAACTATATAGTGCTTACAATTTATGGATAGGTGAGATTTAATTAAGTTATACATGTCTAACTATATATATATTTAATATTGTTTCTCGCCATTTATTTGTGGTATCCAATCAATATTAATTAGTATTAAATTTTCTAGTAAATATTTTTTTATAATGAATATGTATAGAACTTACCCTCATGACAAAATACAAACAAAAAATATGTATAATAATGATGATAAACATTTTTTTCTGTAATTTTATCCGTAATTACAATATAGAAATAGCAATGATATTTACAAAGTAATTAATGAGAATAATTGATATTTTGATAAAGACAAATAAGTGGTCTGCTTTTGGTCGACTTTATTGGGAGGAATAAGGCATTAATAACTTTATTTGACATCCTAACGGTATTAACTGTCAAATTCCACTTTTTTTTTTTAGATTTTTCGTTTGACGTTTGATATTCACTTTGATGCATGATTAATATAAATTCGTATTGAAAAGTCTCATATTGAGGGCAACGCTCTCTATCAAAGACGACAGAAAGTCTCACTTGGGGGACGAAAAGTTTCACTTTGTCCCTATCAAAGACGAATCTATACGTAAAGTTTAAAGCCGAGATCTTTAATATTGATGATGCCAAATTCCACTTACAAAAGTCATTTGGGGTGGGGTAAAAGAATCTTAATGATTCCTTTAATTTCTAGTCAACTTAATTAGTAGCTAACCGACTTCTCAATTGGTACCAACATGTTAATTAAGTATGCAAGCATAGTGTAATAGAATTATTTTAAATAACAAATTTGATATAGTAGTTTCCATAATTAATGTTTGTGTTTATGCTTTTTAAAGTTAAAAGAATTTATCAAAAATAACCTATCTATCAGTACAGGATAGGAATAAGGTCTCTCTATACACAATCCTTCTCATACCTTACTTATGAAATTACACTGAGTATAATTGTTGTTGTAAATTTGATATATATAGTACCTGAAGAATAAAATAATTATTAATTAACTTGATATGGTCAATTGAATTATACTGATGATATCGAATTTTTTTTTTCACTCCATGAGTGTATATTATCTTAAATCCATCATTAATCCTCTATACTTTTGCCTTGTTCATTTTCTTTCTGTTTGGAAAAATATTGGAGAACTCCCATGAACTCCATGGTTAATATGTAAACAACACCAACTGGATACCTAGTGTAATCCCACACTGTCCGCTACACCTGACGTAGATATATGCAAAGTTTACCGCTATTTTTGTGGGGTAAAGAGGTTGATTTTTATAGACTCTCAACTCAAAAGTAGTGTAATCAAAACATAATCTATTGAATGAAAAATAACGATAACAAAATAACAAAATGAACAAAGAGTAGTAAAAGTGAAGAGAAAGGCACTACATAATTAACTTCTGAGAAGAGGAGACTAGCCCCCTACCTCTCCCACATACAAGTGCGGCAACATGACTCGGCTACCTACTGCTCTTTTACTTTAATATACGATCCACATGCCTTCCTATGTAGGGTCATATTCTCATTAAACTGAATTCACGGTTAATATGTACTTCAAGTTTTATTTTCTCATTCTCAAATTAAATTAGCCAAAACATATAATTTCATTCTTGATTAAAGAGCCCAAATGTCTTTATTCAACATGAACTGGGCCACAATATGGTTATTCAGGCCAGATTCTTGAGTTTGGGCCTTCTATATCCCAGTCCAGCTCCAGTTGTTTATCTAATAAAACCCATCAATTATATGAGGAATTTTCGCAAATAGCCACTAAAATAAACTTAATTATGTTTCATAGCTATAGTTTGCATATTTACGGGTTGTAGCTACAACTTAAGCTGCCTCGTTTGTATAATTCGTGGATTTGTATAATTCGCAGGTACATTTGTACAATTCAGTTATTTTTGTATAAACTCGAAATAACGAATTTATACAATTACAAACATCATAAGTGTAAACAGTTACACAAATTATATTATACAAATTCCAAATTATACAAAAGTAATACAAATTATATTATACAAATTTCGAATTATACAAACTTGCGGATTATACAAAACTAAAAGGTTGAGCCGCGTAATTATAGCTAAGAGTAGGTCGTGAATTGTAATTAAGGGAAACTATAGCTATGTTAAGTAATTAACTAGTATATGTTTGCTTATACGCGTAAAAATTGAATCTTGAAGTTACAAATATATATCGTTCGGCCAACTAATTTACCAATAGGATCAAAATATACACTATCATATAATCTTTTAGTGAAAAAATGTTCAACTGACCACCTTCATTGTTTATAGCTCCAAGAGAGGTAGAAACGAACTTATATGCTAGATCAATACTATCGACTTACATTGCAATCTTAATGGAAAACTAGTACTTAACATTTATGATACAACAATAGTGTATTTCGTATTCATAGTCTGATTTGGCTCTACGAGTTCAGTAGAACTCAGTAACTTTGGCTCAAATCCTACATTTGTATTGAAAAATTCATTCAATATGTATTGATAGTGTGTTCAAAACTCATAAACTAAAAATCCTGGCTCGTGCATTTGCGTTCATCTATCCTCAACCGAAAAATCAGGTTCCACAGGTTTTTGTAATGAACTAATAATTTCTAGTTCTCCCCTCATGCTTCCACCTTTTCTGTTGCTTGCTGCCAATGTTGCAGCATACACAGCAAACTCTGAAGCCTTTTGTCCCAACGACACGCTTCTAATTCGTTCATCTCGTGGTTCAGTAGGCAGAGGAGCAGCCAGGGGACTCTGCTTCGCTTTATTAAGCGCAGCAGCCTCTCTCCTTCTCTTGTATCGAAACCAAGCTGCTTGTATAAAACACGCGGCCCAAGTCCTCCATTGGTTCGAGTAAAACCTGAATGTATGCCTTAACTGCTTGCTATGCAGTTTACGGAACTGTGATGCCACAAAGGTCACATCTTCTGCAGCCAATGCAAACGCTTCTACTTCAGTGAGCACGGTCACTGTACGTGTAGAGGAGGGAAGGATGATGCTCGGACGAGGGTCTAGTGCCCATGTTAGTAATTCTTCACCACAGAAATCACATGGACCGAGCTGACACGAGTTAAAGAAACCTGTTCTTCCTCCATCAGTAGTGTAGGAATCCAAATGTCCTCTTATAATGAAGTGCATTTCGTTCACTGGATCAGCTTCGCGAACTAGGCAAGTTCCCGTGGTGTATAGAAGTGGTTTCAACCTTTCACATATTGCATCTAAGATACACTCATCCATTTGATCAAACAAAGGTACCTACAGGACCAACTTACACTTGTCACGTAGAATGTTGGAACTGAAAAACTTACTAAATATAGAACGAGACACTCTTTTTGGGAGATACCAAAAAGGTAAGTAAGACGTATAAATTGGGACAGAGGGAGTTTGATAGAAGTATATGATACTCACTCGACGAACTAGATCAAGACAAAGATGACGTTTGATGTCCCTTCTGAGATCAACAGGAAGGCTTCTAACGATGGATTCTTCATCAACACCTCTTGTTGTCACCCAACGATACACATCATATTTCCGAACCCTCTCCTTTAGATCGTGAGGGAGTTGACGATGATGCATCCATTCTTCTGTATCCGTCCTCCTAATCCTCCATTCTTCGAGTCTCATAGTAGTAGATTGAAGGAAGGTCTAGTATTAAAAGTTACACATTTTCAGTAGAAATTTGGCTAAGATCGAAAACTATGTCCCTTTATCATCTAATAACTTACCTGCATATTCCCAATAAGTAACGCGAAAAGCAACAATCCAAGAATTGCAAGAACAACCGCGAAATTTATCTCATTAATGTCAGTAGTAGTCAAGAGATTCTGCCCGATAGAGCTGCAAAAATTAGATCACAAAAAGTTAAAACATTTAATCGAAAAATAACAGATGTTTAGCTGGATTTCCTTACCTTAGGTTCCTTAAGCCCCACCAGAAACAATACGTATACTTGTTCAAGAACGATGACTGTGTAACGCGATAAGTCAGTGCATCATTAAAGATTCCAAATTGGAAGAAGTTGCTGCTAGGACCACATAATGAAGATATATTGCTCCGCTGGTACCACGCGATTCTACTGTTATCGTTCTTCCTCTGGCAGTCGAAATACCAATATTGGCAATACGGTTGCTGTTGATCACAAATCTTCTTCCAACACTGTTCTTGCCTCTCCACAGCTAAAAGGTACCAGCAAGATCCCATGACCTTAACAAAAATCGTAAACAAAATGATCGATAAGCCAACAGTCAGACCTCTCTATAACATTCATTCTCTGTAATAACATTTCAATTTAACAACCAAGTTTTCTTTTGGAATCGACTTTTCATGTTATGTAATATTATGTGTTCTCTTTAACAACCAGACAAACGAGGTCGTTATTTAGAGGTTTGACTGTGGATAGTAAATTGGAACAATAAACTTTAGTTCACCCTACATCATCGCGTATAACTTACATGACTTGCCAACATGAAGAGCACGAGGTTATAAACCGCGCCAGCCCAAGCAGCTTCCACCATCACACCAGTGGTCTTGATAATGTGAGATGAAAGTGGAAAAATCAGGCATAGCCTCAAGAGGAACTGAGAAATGATAGTTAGGCGTAAGGCGTGTTTTGCACCAATCCTATTTGAACCTCTCAGAGATGGAATTGCAGCCCAAATCAAAACCTGAAAACAGAAATTTCGCTAAGGGTGTTCAATATTTGATATACATATCTATATGACCACCGTATGATTTTCTGACGAAGAGTGTTCAACTGACCATCCTACAATCGATGTAGCTACACAAAGTAGCATTTGATGCAACTTGTAAGCCTAAAAGACATCAATGAGTTTTAACTAGAGGGATAATTTGTACCTGAGGTAGAGGAAGAGTAGCCAAGACGTCGAGCAAAAAGTCCTTACGAAGATACCTTGAAGCAATCTTTGAAGAATCAATGACTAGCTCACCTCTTCCAAAAACACGAGAGGAAGGTGCAACGTAAGCTGTTCGAAACTGAACTAAAATCTGAACCAGATAAAATGCATCTATGACTGATCGAACGATTGTAAGGACTATCTCCATAGGATAACTTGCATCCATACAGATTTCGTCGTTAACACTTGGTAAATAGAAGAACAATGGATCAACAAACAGAGAAGTTAGAGAAGCAATAAGGAAACATTTGTTCCATATGTTTATAGGACGTCCTCGCGGATCTAGTATCTTCCATTGCACCCCATCATAGTCCTCTGAAAATACTCTTGAAAGTTTTTTCTTTTGGAACACCTTCATTTTTGGCTCTATTTCTACCTTCTCGAGGTTTGAACTAGACGTTTGTTCGTGATTCTTGATGGAGATAGTTTTGAGGAATTTCGACACATTGTATGATCCAGATTTTGATATGTCAAAGTCATTTGGAAATCTGATTGAACAGAGATGAGCATGACTTAGAGTCTAGTGATAAAACACATGACTATGCTGCTCGGACTCTTCAAAAATGTTGTCACCTTTTGGAGGATCTGACACACACCTGACAATACTTTTGAAGAGCTCGAGCAACATAGAAAAGAAATAGTACAAAAAAGTGTTGCATTTTGAAATAAATTAACAAAATATCATAAGATATAAGTACTTTAGCCACAAATTCAAGGATTCATATATATACCTGACAGATTTTTGCTTAGAAGAAGACATGGTTCATGCTCAGGATAAAATCTTTCTGCTGAAACACAGAAGAATTGAAATCTTAGATCAAAACACTATGTATGGACGGTATGAACTATCTTAACACGAATTCTTGAACATTCAGTTTAGATATTCACGACCAAGAAGTACTGGATTCTCTTTCAGATAGTCCTTGGACGAAAAATGTTGAATTTACCTAAAAGTCCCCATTTTGGAAACGTCTAGTGCCAAAGTCGTTGAATAGATGGTATTGTACCATACGATACAGACATATAGTTAGACCAAATAGGAAATATGTTAAACTAAAACGAACAATTCAGTCTATCTGAACACTATATTCACACAACAATAAGGTGCAACACAATACGATACAAAACGATATACATCATGAAACAACTCTAACAACGAGTGGAAAGGAAGAAAAAAATGCACAAATTAAAGAGTACCTTGATATTTCTTGTGTATTGTTTCAATCATATCAAATATATTCTTGTAGTCTGAAACATATCATACATGAATTGCCAATCGACGTTCATTTAGCAATGAACATAAGTGATGGTCTTAGTAATCATATATATATTGTTTGAAAATATTTATATATTTCTTAAAATATTTTTTTATGTGTCTGAACATTGTTATGGATTTTGAACTAGTGCACATTGTTAAGAATCATGTAACAGGACTAAAAATTGAATATTTGAATGTATTTTGTTTTGATGTTAAATTTAACTAAATTTGAAGAAAAAGACAAAGTAATGGATCCACATCCATTTTCAAAATATTATTTTTGAATTCCATAGAATAAGTTGGCATATAGTATCAATTGGATTAGTAATTTGTGAATATTGAACTCCATAGAAAAAGACAAAGTAATGGACTATATGAAATATGTACTTCTAATCCTATTTATAAATTTTCACAAACAATTAAATTGATTTGTAGTTACTAATAGTGGTTGATTTTGTATTGAAATTCCAGTGAAGCCACTTAATGAGTAAATACAAATTAAACATGGCAAATAGAAGATAAAAGAACAGAACAAAATATATATTCATAAACTTGTCTACAAAAACAGAAAAAAAAATCAACATGTTGAATCTTGAGAGATAACAACACAAGCTTTTGAAGAATCAACAACTAATACTCCTGTTTTTGTACTGTCTTGTAAATTCTCAACGCGTAAACCTCCACAAGACACCTCAACTTCGCGACAACTTATGTGAGAAGGTGATTTACGATCACTGATTTGAATTTTCCCAATTAGACTAACAGAAAATCTTGTAGTCTGACCAGACACAAAGTCACCAGCAATAGATGTACCAATCCAATATTCATATGCCTCAGGTAAAGCTGCAAACGTTGAATCGATTAAGCTTTGATCTTTTGCATCTTGATGGAGTTTATCAAACACATTGGCACTCCAAAGAAGGGTGTCGGTATAGGATATGTTAACCTTGAAATCGTTGTAATAGAAATCATAATTGTTATTAGGATTTTGAACTGAGAAAGTGAGGTTCCAATTGTCTGGATTGTACATTATCAAAGGATGAACATAACGAGTCAATACAGAAAAGGAAGTTGATGACACTGCTTCTATTTTGAATTTGGGATCGCGAAGTACCATAGTAGTATCTTCATGATCAACATAGAACACGCAAAAAGCTAGAGTGACACCCAGAGCTATGGCTAATACAAGTAATAAGATTTGTAAAACCAGATTGTACTTTGACTTTTTTGTAGAATCCATTGTTGTTGCATCCTTGTTATTTGATTTCTCCTCCATTTGATTACTACGAAAAAGAAAAAAAATTGACAAAAAATTGATGAAATAGAAGATGTATAAAGTATTGAGAAAGTTTACTAATGTAGAATGTAATTTCTTAGCTTAAAGTGTAATTGTTATATAGAATAGCAAAAGTCACTATTCTAAAAGGATTATGAGAAATTGTTTCCATTATGGAATTATTTTAGAAATTTAGGGGTTGGATTAATTTTATTTAAAGGCATAAAGTGTTTGTTTTACGAAAAAGAAACGTTTTTCCTAATTAAATTCTACTTAGGTTTGATATTTTTTGGAAACTTTTTCCAAAATCCAAATCGTTATTTGTTTTCTTTTTTTCTTTCCTTTTGTGTTTATTCTATTACTCTTTTAGTTCACTTTTACACGTATCTTATTCCAAAAATAGTTTTTCCATGTTTCTTGTCACTTTTAATATTTTGAGAAATAATACTAATAATTATTTTTTCATATTTTGTCTTTAATATTAATTACTTATTGTTGACACCCAATTTCGGACCTCCCCGATATAGATTAATCATCGAGCTTTTTCAGTTTCAAACGATTTAAAATAATTAGGTTTATAAAATTTCAAAAAAAAGAAGTAATTAATTAATTAATAATAACATAGTTTGCAAGTCATTTTAAGATAGTTTTATCACTTGTTATAATTTTTAGATAATATATATGTTTTGCATAATTATGTATATAATTAGTATATTTTATGATTATTCGAAAGTCGCCTCAAAAAAAAAAAAAAAAGATTTTGTTTTAATTAAATATTTGGTTAATTAATTTAATTAATACTTATATTTTTGCTTTATTAATAAATAATTAAATTAATTATTTTATTTTGTTGAAATTAAGAAGCTCATTAATTAATCATATGAATTCGTCTTATTTAAATTTTACTCGAGTTCTCTAAATTATACTCAATTTGGCTAACTTCTTAATTTCTATGGCCATAATTGCAAATCACGTGGCTATTTTCTAGCCCCTTTCTTACCAATTCATTCAATTCTTTTGAGACCAATTTTGGGCCTTGCTTTAAATCTCCAGCAGCCCATCCTTTTTTAATTCCAAATCAGCCCACCACTCCATTCAATTTCAACTCCAACATTAGTATAACAACAACAGCCCACCAACAATACACCAGCAATACAACGTACAAATGACCCCCACATTCTTCTTCTTCTTCACGCGTGACCAGACGAAAATGAACCCAGAAGCAGACCAGGGAACTCAGCCCAGAAACCGGCAGCCCACCAAAATCGATCCGGCAGTAGCGCGCGTCTCTCTCCTCTTGACGTGTCCCTATCTCCGTGATTCACTCGTCCTTGCCAAGATCGGACGACCCTCCTTCTCAATCTGTTGGAATTAGTACTAGTTGGAGCTGGCAGCCTTATCGCTAAAAAGAGATTTGAATTTCGAATTTTGAATTCAAGTTGGCCCCCAATCCCTCCGGTTTTCCCCCCCTTCACTCAGTCTTAATCTTCCTCTATATAAATCGATCTTTTATCTTCATTTTCGGGGTTGGAAGGGGCAGGCAGTAGGAAAGGAATACAGTAAAATTACTAGCCATATACAGTTATATACAAATACTTAGGAAATAGATCTTGAAATCATAGAGGCTAAGAAAGAGATTTTCTTAGTCTTTTCTCGTTTGCTTCTGCTTAGTTTTCGGAATTCTCAAAATCGTGTTTCGTGGTGAAAAGCTTTCGCTCGGTTCATTCGTCCTAGTTCCTGCTCCAAAAAAGGTATTCCCTTTACCATTTTAATCTAGTTTGTTCAGTTCCCTATTTCTGTGTGTTGATTCAATATTACTATTTTTTTTTATTTTTTTTATTTATTTATTGTTTTGTTTCTATCTCTATATTGAGTGCTATGTGTTTGGTATAATTCTATTTGAGTAGTCTAGTATCTCAAATGATTTGTTTAGTTGTCAACTAGCTTATTTTAGTCCTAATTTGATTCTATGTATGACTCAAATATTAGTGTAAATCTGCTAGTTGGACTCATTTTAGATCCTATATTAGATGATATGTGCTTAATTGTTCTTGGGGTAACATATAGACTAGTCTAGAGTATCATGTTCATAGTTAAGTTAGTATGTTAATATGATTTGTTGTAAGTGTGCTCGAGTTTTGTTTGTTTCTATGTCTCTTCTAAAATAAAAATAAAAAAATCTAAACTTTTAAGAAAGGGGCATTTCTTTTCCTTACATGATAAATCCGTTTAGTTAAGTCCATGTTTTAATATGCTTCTATCATTTTATTTAGTCAATTGTTATAAATAAATAAATATATATATTATGTAAACATATATATATATATATATAATCCATGTTTTATATATGTAAACATATACATATATATTATTTAGTCCATGTTTATATATATATATATATTATGTAAACAACTTTATTATAGCTACCGCCTCTTCAAAATGTTTTGCTCTCTCTTATCTCATTCTTCTCAAAAGAAGTTTTGAAGTTTATTAATGGTGAGGATAAAATGTCTTTCATTTTAAGTTGAGTAATGTGATAAGATTACATCTACTGGATCACCCTAGATTTGATTGTTATGTTGTAATTTGTTTATGTTTGAGTTCAAGTATTTGTTAATTCAAAATCACCTTTGTCAATTTTATTATAAGTAGGTACTAATTTATTTTTATGTGTATTCTTTCTTATGTGAAATCCGTCCGAGTTCACCATGAACTCTTATTCCCTCTTGCATTTCGGGAGAGCCGCAAAGGCTCGAATTCCTCTTTTTGAGTCGGACAACCGTGAATATCGATGAACATGTCTTGGAGTTGAAAGGATTCGAAG